TACAGAGGTGCTTTCACACCAGAGTCGCACCAAGCTACAAGCAGAGGTGCCTGGTGACCGTGGCGTGACTGATGAGCAGTAGCTCATCTATCTGAGGGAAAACATGATCTTTTTTCACCGAGGACAGAGGAGAGTCCGCTAGGGGTGCTGGATGTGCCCCCACTCTCCGTCTAGCTGTGCCCGGAGCTCACCACCATGGAAGCAGCGGCCGCTGGTCCTTCGTGGTGCTTCATGGTGCCATTTATTAACCGTAGTCCTTGTTACACCTCGCCGAGCTTTGCTAGGGCTCGGTTAGCTTGGCACTGCCCTCGGCCATTGCCCTGATGTCTAATGGCCCAGGAGGAGATGGCAGAGGGCTGCTGGAAGAGCCGGGAGAGCCAAGGCAGCCGCAGAAGACGCGGTGACCAGCCTGATCCTCCCTTCTCCCACCTCCCGGTGCAGCATCCGTCAGTCCACACGACCCTCCCCCTACCAAAATTGGCTGCTTTCTTCCCTCTTCTCCCCCCCACCTCCCTTTTTTTGGCTGAGTGATGAGCTGTATGCCAAATCCATCTGCTCCTGTCTCCCCTAGCTGCCTTCCATATCATTACAGGATCCCTGGCAGCGAGCCTAGACCTATCTCTCTCCCTGCACTCAGAGGAGCACATTCCTTTCTACACCTTTTCCCGAGCTGGGATAGAAATGAGTATCAACCCCAAACAAAAAGCATCTGCTTTCTGCCTGCTTCTGCTTCACCGGACGCGCATGTACGCTACACCCGTGTCAGCAGCGAATGCAAAACACACACAACCCCCCACCTCGCCGCCCCGCATCCAACATGGGCTGACGAAACTTTGGGCGCCGGGAGCCTGCCTCACACCCTCTCCCTCTCCGTCTCCGCAGCACCAGCTGTGACCACCGCACCATTTGTTCCTCCAGCCCACGCCAGCACTCGGAGCCAGTTCTTTATCACCCCAATTAGCCTTGTCTGTGCTGATGAGAGGAGAGAGGCTTCCACTGCACGGCAGAGATGGGGGGAAGAGAGCTGGCGTGCGGTGGGCACTGCGAGAGGCGATTCCCTTTACGACGGCTTTGTTCCCCGGGAGGGATAGATTTCACCGGGTCAGGAGCACCGCTAAAAAGCCAGCGCTATCATCCTGCCTGCTTTACCTGGGTGATGCTGGTTTATAAACAGTTGCTTGAATAAGGTCAGGGGACACCGTTTCTTGGGTTTTTCCCTTTTTTTCTTCGTGCACTCAGCTATGTGCTAGAGGGAAGAGGAGCATCCTCAGGCTGCACCGGCTCCCAGGTGTTGCATCAGGCTGTGGCTAGCGCCGGCCATATTTCTGGGTGAGTTTGGAGATGCACCTTGACCATGCCTCCAGCAAGCATCTCCCTGCATCTCTAGCAAAGCTTCCAGTAGCCTCACGGGGTGAAACAATTCCCCCTTCTCCTGCTGCCTCATTATAGTGTCTCCCGTGCTGGTATGTCAGGATACGGAGCGGTCAATGCTGCCCTGATGCTCATTCAGCCATCAGCCCAAAAGTCTGGTTTTTTTTTCCCAAACAAGCCCCTTGTAACACTCTCCAGGAGTAGTGCTTTTACACTGGGGTTCCCTCAGTGTTGTTGTGAGGTCGTGTCCCTCCTGGACTTCTCTTCTCCTGGATTCATTGTTGAAGGTCCTTTTCTGGTAGGCACCTCAGTGCTATCATCCCAGAGCCAGGAAGGGGATCCATCCTTCGCCTCAGCACAGGTAGATCTGCCTCATCGGGAGGAGGAGGATGGACACAATTCAAACCCAGTCCCATGGTGGGCACTCCGTTTGAAAGGACAAAGTCATCCCGTGTGGGCTGGGGCAGGTCCCAGCAGTGTAGTCCCAACAGGGTAGAACCTGTCCCTGGGAGCAACCTCCATGGCAGGTGTTCCCTCTTACAGGATTTCTCGGCATGGCCATGAAGGTCCCCAGAAGGACCCTGCTGGGGGTCTTCTTTGAAGCTGAGAGACGAGAAATTTGACAAGAAACTCTGTGGTCTCCAGATCCGTTTCAGAACGCCATGTCCAGTGGAAGGTTGGCTGAGCAGGTCCAGGATGCTGGACAGCTAGAATAGCAGTCTACCCCAAAATCGGTGAAATTGCACTTTCCAACAAAACCCCCTGAGGGATTCAAAGACTGAACTGGTACACAATAAGGTTGTGTCTTAATGTTGTCTTAATATCTGTAGCCCACCACCTACATGTGCTTCTCCCTGTTCTTCTGCGTTTGATTTCCCAGTGAGATGAGTAAGTTACTCCTGATGCGTTTCTGAACAGCTTTGCCAGTGCTGCTGTGGCGTACGTCCCTCTGGTACCTGCCTGCAGATGCACCGCTTGGAGCTCCTGTAGCTGAGGCTCCAGAGCAGTTTTTAATATCTGCTTTATTAAGGTCAACCAGAAGGAGATCTGCAGAGATTGCACCAGTTCAACCAGTCACCCCCCAGCAAATTTCTTTCACATCTTCCCAGGCTTCAGAAAGGGGCTTAAGTAAGTTCAGTAATACGCAGCTCCAAACCGATGCCTGTGACCGCTTGTATCTTCTTTCAAGATCTTCAGAGGAGTCCCTGACCACGTGTTCGTCTTGCATTAGGCATTCATTCCCTTGTCCTTCTGCTCAGACACCATAATCTGTCTCTGAACTATCACACCTCGATCCTGTCCCTCCTGAGGCCATCCCATCTAACAGCCTTGTGTAGAGCCTTGCCATGAATGAGGAGCTCAGCCCTGCAGGGAAAGGAGGCCGTTTCCCTCCTGGATCCATGGGAAGGAAGCTGAAAGGACCTGCAAGCAGTTATCTCATCTGTCTCCTTCCACCGAGACAAGCTCAATTCTGCTTAAACTATTCTTGATGGGTTTCATCTAATTTGTGCTGAAAACTTCCCACCACCGAGACACCACACCTTCCCCAAGCATTTGCTTGCAATACTTTGCTCCTTCCCACTAGGATACTCTTCCTGCTGTTCAGCTTGGATCTTACTCGATGCTTTTTGAACTGTGTCCCAAGAGAGCGTGAACAAAACATTACTCCTTCTTCTGTGCCCTAGCCTCTCCACCATGCCAAATACCACCATGCCTCCCGTGAACGTCTCTCTTCTAGACTCAGCACGTCCAAGTCCTCATCGTTTGCCCCACAGGTCTTGCTTTCAGACCACTACTCGGGGGTCCACGAAGGCAGATGTGACTTTCCATGGAGCTCCCACCTCTCCGGCCCCCGTTGGAGAGGGAGGGACTGTGGTGGCTCTCCCTTAGCTTTCTGTGGAGACTTCCCTGTTGTAGGTTGGGTTTTGCTCTGTCCGAGCTGCCCCACATCCCCAAAGCCCCGCTGGCACCAGCATGGACGCTCAGGGTTGGACCACCCAATTCCAGGTCATTTGAAAGCTCTTTCCACTTTGATGTTTTCACACCGGTGGGTGAAACCACCCAACCCCAACGCCTCGGAGCTTTTCTTTCTGTCTCTGGCCGAAAAAATAAGAAAACAATAGGAAGAAAAGCTGCGTCAGAGCCAGGCAGATCGGAGTTAATCCTCCCGCAAAATGGATCCCGTCAGTGCCGGTGTACGTGAGAATCGCCTCTCCTGCACCTTTGCTGAGTACTCTCCCCGGCACAATGCTTCACTTTGTGTTTCAGCACAGAAAGAAATGGTGAAGTTGCTAATAATGGCACTGAAAGAAAATATGCTACATCTGTTATGGATAGCAGTACAAAATTAGCTGATCACACCTCTGACACCCAAGATGTCTTCACTTAAAATACTCGTTGGCTTACTTTACATAATTTGCTGATTATATTTAAAAGAAATACAATTTTGCAATTACTGTTCTTTCTGGTGTGCTATCTATGCATCATTTTCTTTTTATGTTTATATATTTCTCCTTCATTAGTGCAGTCTGAAGGGTGATTAGATCCCTTCAAACATTTTACAGAGGTTAAACGTTGATTAAGATTTAATTATTACTGTAAATAGCTTGGAATGACATATGGTGCAAAAACCTGACATATGTGCATTTGAATAAATGAAGTGCTATTTCCCATGATGCTTCAGTAGCTGTTTAACAGCTTTGCTGAAGGGTTATGTTGCACCTCATGTTAAGATTGCTTTGATGTTATATTTTGTTGGGTTTTTGCAGCTGAAAGCTAAGAACAGTTTTTCCAGTTTTTAAAAACATTGAATATTTTAAATACCTAAATTGTTTTGCACAAATTTTTGCTAATTTGTCTAACTAGGTTAAACATTTTCAAAAGCATTTCGATTTTAACGTGGGTTCCTAGCATTGTGTCAGCGACAGCATCAATTCAATGTATAGGATTTCCAAAAGTCCTGGTCTTGCAAGGTGCCCTGTCCCGGTTGGGAGCAGGATCTTTGCTTGCCGGAGGAACCAGGAGCACCACGGATCCCTCCCGGGGACACAAAGGTTCGGAGTGATTTCAGAGCAAGAGAAAGCTTCGTGCGAAGCCGGGGAAAGCAGATTTTATGGAAACAGAGAAAGGGGTGGGTAGATTTTAGCTGTGATCCACCCTAGTTGGAGCATATAGAGCCCTGGTCCGGGAGCCAAACGAGGGTGTGCTCTCCCCTCGTGTCACCACCCAGCCCTTGGCTTTGCCGGGTCCCGACGGGCGCAAACGGCAGCTTTGGGGACTGGATTCCTTCTAGCACCCTGCGAGGGGACCTTGGCTGCGGGAAAAGGAAGGGTTGTCTCCTGCAAAACGACGGGTGGGATCCGTTTCATTCTCAGAGACACTCTATAATTCATTGAATATTGCAAGGCAGCGAGCGTGCATCATTTCATGTAATATAAGTCAATCCAAACAGGGTTGTTTTGAGACTCGAGCAGAGTAAAGCACATTTAAATGACACGGAAGAGGCATGATTGACATTGTATTATTTACATATTGTACTTCTCCACATTAATTTATTGATCTGTCGCGCTCCTTCTGCAGCACAGCAACGCAATACTGATTCTGATCTTGCCTCCTCTTTGATTTCACAGATTGAGACATCTCGGCTGGAGCCAGAAATCGCAATGGCCACTACCAGTAAGACTGTAGTCTACAATAAAGGATTGTAAGTGGAAGCAGACCACCTCAGCCCAGAAGATTTGGGGAGGGAAAAGGGGAATCTTGAGATTCCAACTGGGAAAAAGAGAACAACAACAAGATAAAACAAATAATAGAGCTCAGCGATAGTAACGTATTACCGCTCCCGGCGAACTGGGAGTAAATTAACACTTGCAGAGAACTGACACCTCACACCAGTCAAAAAGATTAATATTAAAAGTTTTAAATTAGCAACAGGAGCAGCAATGAAAAAAAATCACATTCAAACACTTTAGAGAACTAGCTAAAGAAGAATCTCAGAACTTAATAGCACTGCATGGAGGGATGTTTAACGGCGTGTTTACGTGGTTATACCTAACTACATGGAAGTAGGCTTCACTGAGCAAATTTTGTTTTCGATGCAAATTAAATCTACACACTGATGCTGCACAAAAATAATTCCGTAGAGATCAACGGGTGCATGAACGTGAAGCACTTGATAAGGTGTTTGATAAGTGTCCTCTATTGATTTCATACTGATCCCGCCCCACTGATCATGCGCAAAAGCATCCTTCCACGGTTCAACGTGCAACGCTCCGTTAGCACGGCGAAGGTCGTAGCCTGTGCACCCTCCGTCCCTCCATCCTTCTTCTGCAGACGGTCCTGGTGGCATCCTGCCATTCGTTGCGCTTGCAAGACTTAGTGTCACAGGAGCCTACCGCCGGGCATATCCGCAAGGGCTTTTGCCTGGGCTTCAAGATGCTGGAAAGCCAACGTGCCCACACATTGAGTAGGAAGGGATCTTATGGCAAAAAGTATGGTCAATCTGCTCTTTTCTTTTGCACGGACCCAAAGGATGGGGTTTGTCCCACCTAACGTAGACCCTCCAAAAGTAAGGTTGTTAATCTAAGCTAATTGGCTAAGCCACACTTTGCTAAGCTAGCTGTCTAAGGACAGAATATACTTTAACTTTTGACCAGCCCTGAAGTGGTCAGGCAGTTGGACTAGATGGTCATTGTAGGTCCCTTCCAACTGGAACTTCTCTCTTTTCTCTTTTCCCTTTTCTCTTTTCTCTTTTCTCTTTTCTCTTTTCTCTTTTCTCTTTTCTCTTTTCTCTTCTCTTCTCTTCTCTTCTCTTCTCTTCTCTTCTCTTCTCTTCTCTTCTCCCTCTTTCTTCTTCTTCTTCTTCTTCTTCTTCTTCTTCTTCTTCTTCTTCTTCTTCTTCTTCTTCTTCTTCTTCTCCTCCTCCTTCTTCTTCTTCTTGTCCTCCTCTTCTCTGTTTTTGCCAGCGCTTTCAGCCAGCAAAGCCAACACTGCCCAAAGCCTTGTGCTGGTGCAGAGAAGGACCCAAAGCAGAAACCAGTAGGCAGGTTGGCTTCACCTGGCAGCCGTGCCAAGCTGATGGCACCATGCGACTGCAACCTCAGAGAGTGAAGGCTGCCTGCCTGGCTGTCTCTTCCAACTGCTTCACTTTGGGGTGCTTAAAGTGAGGTGGGGGCAAGTCCCCCCAGCATGGCACTGAATCCTGGGTTTGGAGTCATAATTTGGCTTTCTGGTATCTTGTACCCAAGAGTAAACCCCAGGTGACTCCCTGAGGACCAGAGGAGTTGATGCAGATTTTGGGCACGGTCACCAGCAGAAGACCATGCTGATAGCGAGACCTGCCTCTGGGGTCATTGTAGGGATGGAGGTGTGGAGGTGATGGGCACAATTGAATGCACAGGCTGTCGTTCTTCAAATGCCAATTTGTTGGGGGTTTTGGGGAGGGTAGGGGGAGCACAGGAAACCAAATCATCACTGACGCAGAATGTATTCAAAGGATTTATTGCAGTGCTGGAAATCGGGAGGCCTGAGCTCCACCGTGCGCTCCTCCACCGTTGGCTGCTCTCGCTCCCTGCTGGAGTCAGACCTGTAGGACCTGGAGTCACGCAACGGTTGGGCCAGCTCAGGAAGACTGATTCTGTCCCCGCGCTGGTGTAAATCAGAAATAATTGCACAAAACAAATCAATTTGGTTGATTTACATGCCAGCGTGCAGGGGAGGAGAGGCCAGCTCCGGGCTCTCCATAGCTGCTGTTGATGGGCCAGCTCCCGATCCCTGACACTGGTGGAAATGCAGAGTGGGTCCAGTTACACTTATGGAGCTATTCTGGATTTACACCAAGGCCGGGGACAGCTGGATTTGACCCAGTAGGGTTCCTCTAATGCACTAGATGAGATGAATGTACTCTCCGGAGGAAGCAAGGCCACCCGATGCGCTCCGGGTGGGATTCGGAGAGGCTGCAGGGAGGTGGCATCTGTCCTATGGACATTTTCATGGGCGTCTGTCCTACGGGCGGCACAGCACACAATCAGGCCCCATATTTTGCCCTCGAAGCGAGTAACTCCCTGCAGCAGTGAAAGAGGAGGGCAGAACCTCCAGCCCCCGGGACGGGGAGCAGGGATGCTGGCAATCCCCAAACAGCAGCCTGCCGATGGGAACCGCAGCGGCAAGGCTTCGGAGAGCCGGCTGGGATGAGCTGTGTGCCTGAAAAGGGCCCTTGCCTTCGCTGCAGGGTGTGGGAGGAGGTGAGGAGCGCTGTCGGATGCCGGGGGTACGGGTACCCCCTTGCACACACATCCACATGTGTCTGCAGTGGGGAAAAAGCTACTCTGAGCCTAAAACTTCAGTTTACGGCTCCATTGAGCCGGCAGAAGTTAGGAGCCAAGCCGCATCGTGTGGCATGGAGGCACAACTTGCCTTCTTCCTCCTCCTGGATGGAAATATGAGGCTGAGACAGAAACAGCGTCTTGTGTTGACAGGGAGAAGCCTCCTGGCTCCGACGTCTGTCTGGGTGGATCATTTCCCCTTCCCTGGTGGGTTTTCGCTGCCTGAACCATTCTGCTGCAAAGCTTGTTCATCCCAGGCTTTTTATTTTTTTTTTGGGAGGGGGAAAGGGAGAAGTGATGGAGGCTGCACTTTGCCGTGAGGTTTCAGGGAGGTGGAGCAAGGAGGGAGATGGTGATTTGGTTTTGCATCATGATCACCGATCAGAGGTTTCGGTGGCTGTGAGCTCCGGCTACCTGCCAGGCCTGTAAATGGAGCAAGAAATTTGCAGTGGAGGAAAGGAGTCAAGGTTTTGCTCGCTGTATTTCTTTAGGAGACACCCAAGGAAAAGCACGGATTGAGCAAGTTCTGTCTCAGGAAAGAGCCAATTCCCAATTTTCTCCGTGATGGGAAGCGAGTATAGATGCTTTCCCTGCACACACCTCACCTGCAGAGTTTTGGCTGCGCAGGTCGTTAATTAGCAGGGGATGTTCATCACGTTAATCCAGTGATGCTCGATAAGGACTGCCTTGCTTTGGAGGAGAATAGGCTCGGGGCTTAGTAAACCACGCAGCTCCTGTGAATCACGAGGGCCTGATCCTGCTCGAGGGGCTGAGAACCAGCTTGAGGGATGTCAGAGGAACCGCGCTGCGAGATTATGGCTTGGCTCAAAAGCAGCTGCACAGTCGAACAAGTGACAATCAAACGGTCTAAATGAGTCTGCATTTATCGTCTTGCCGTACAAACCCCGTCAAACTTGTTTCGCTTCATGTGTCATGAAAATGGGTCTCAGTCAACTCGGCAGCGTTTGTGCTGAGAAATAAATACATCCCGGGGTCCTGAGTCAGGCGTTCGCCAGGGTTTATCTCTAAGAGCCGGAGCAGGCAGCCCATCGCAGCCTCTGGCAGGTTGACGACAACGTTTGCTCTCCAATTTTGTTCAAATGCAACTCATAACGTTGTGCCCCCCCTGCCCAAAGCACCGGGAAGGTGCTCCTGCTTGGAGCTGGGAAGGGAGAGCCACCACCTCACGGGGTCCAGCTCCCTTTTCTAACCTCTTCTGAAAGCATCTGCAGGTCTTGGTGTGCGAGGTAGCGCCCGCGACAGCGGCGCACAAGAGGTCGGAGACCCCCACGTCTCCCAAACCCACCTGCGTCCCCTTGGTCCGGGCAGTCAGGATGGTGCAGACCCATCTCTGCTTCTCTCCCCCTCGCCGTCCCCTGCCTTGTCCACCTGGGTGGCGAGCAGGACGAGGCGCAGGTAGGAGGAGCGCATTTTGGTGGCCCCGTGGTCCCAAACTTTCGGGGAACACGAGACCACGGTGTCCCCACGCTGGGACATCGAAGCCAGCTGATGCGATTCAGCTTTTGAGCCACCACCATGCCACCGCTGACGGTGTCGAGATGCATTTTTATTTCACCGCAGCAGAAAGGCTCAGCAGACACAAACCTGACCCTTCTAGATCTTAAAAGATCATTTCACTCGCAGGCAGCTCAAGGTTGGGCTCCTTCGTGCCGCGGTTCCAGCACCGGCTCGGCCAGGGTGCCCGCCTGGACCGCCGGCGAGCACCAAAATACCGCGCTGGACTCTTAGAAAGGAAAAGCATGGAGCTGGGAAAGCGGCAGCACATGAGTGCTGTTTATTAGGACGGCAAATTGTGCCAGGAAAGACTACACACAACAGCTAATGATAACATTATGCACGTTCACTTAATAGCTAATTAATCTCTTCGACTTTCCTCATGTAGAAAAAGGAGCCTTGGGTTTGCGAGAACAGCCCAACCATTTGCATTTCTTATCTCCTGTAATTGGGGAAGTGGAAGAAACGGGGAGCGAAAAACCCACCGCACACATCAAGTTGTTCACCTCAGCAGATAATAATAATGAGATGATCATCTCCTGTAGTATTTAATTAGAAATGTCGCAGTTAATTGATTTCTTGGATATGTTAATTAAGAAATAATGAGCACCAGGTTGCAGCAAAAGGTGCCAGCGAGAAGTTTTGAGTCCCTCCTGGAAGATGTGTCTGTTGGCTGCCGGGAAGATGTGTCCGTTGGCTGTTCCCTGAGCCGGCCGGGGGACAACCGGGGGACACCTCCGGGGTCGTGTCACCCATGTCCTAAACCCACCTTTAAGCTTGGGCACGGCTCAGCTCCTTCCATTTTTATTTGTTGCTCATTTTTCAGCTCTGCATCCCTGCGTGAGGCCAGGCGCGGGCAGATGCCCGGGTCCCGGCAGGACCGGCCGTGGGTCGTCCGGATGACC